CGCTTCACTCACAGTTTGAATAGTTGAGGATGAAGATGTCCTCATGTTCCTTCTCTTCGCCTTGCGGCTCAGCACAGGTTGGAAACCGTCATCGGAGAAGTCCTCACTGCTGAGATAGTAAGCATGAGTATCTTCACTGTCGCTGTCGCTCGCTTGTCCCATCCGCTTCCTGGAGGCGGTCGCCGCTGACGCCGCTGGTGCCGGCAGGCGCCCGGGGTGGTCTACTTCCATCCCCTCCAAGGGAGCAGCGGAAACTGATCAACAGACTTAAATTACAACTGAAATACGCCGGAGGTAGCAGAAGCAGCTCCTATTCAAAACACACTTCTTCGTCGAAAGGTATTAAAAGTTCCTGAAATGCTATGTGAAATTCGCCAATAAGGCCATCTGGGCCAGGAGCTTTGTTTTTCTGCAACGTCGTTATTGCAAATATAATTTCTTTCTTGCTTATAGAGTCATCCACAGTGAGTCGGTCATCATCTTGTAAGTGAGGCCCAAGGGCAATGACGTGGTCAGCTTCTTTATCAAAATTCTCCTGAAGTTAGTCAGGCAAACAAACTTTTGTAGTAATCTTCAAATGCGGCTCTTATTTCACATGTCCCTTTGCAAAGAGTACCCCGCGACTCAATTTGCAGTATCTCTTTAGAAAGTGAGTATATGTTATCTTCACCAAAGAGTTTTTTAGTGTGTTACTCTTCAGTGAAACGGGTAACACGGGAACGAATCATTGCTCCCCTGTATACATCTGTATCATGTTTTTGTATCTGTGCTCAAATCATATTTATCTCGTCTACGTACAATCCCGGCTGTTGGCTTTCAAAAATATGGAGTTTATGAAGTAAATAGTAAAGGGGCCATTTCTCAGCTCTTTTTTTCTTCTTTGAGCTATTCCACATGAAATACTAATCGCATGATACTTAACTCTTTCTTTGAACCTTTGTTATTGAGCGAAGATTGGCAGCTGTCGACACTGTGTTATCTCTTGTACCAATTCTTTTACTATTTTTACAAAACAATCATCGCGCAACAACTGTACGTTAAGCTTCAATAAGTCCCAGTTTAAAGAAACCTTGCGAAAATTTTCACGACCCCAAGAAACAGTGACCAAGCGATGATAAGTCGGTAAAGCAATCGCGTTAATACGACTAATAAGGCGTTTTGAAACAGCGAAAGAACAAGCAGTCGTAGCACAATGCGAATAGCGTAAGGAGAAGGTCGTTCATAGCTCAAACCAATTACAAAAACTTGTTCTTGTTCAGCTAATTATTGTGGCGCATACCCACTTCAGGCCTAATTCCTGATCGTCGTTAGCATATGCATGAACAATTCGCACAAAATTTCTCGCAATAGTTTAGCCGATACCGCACTTCTCAGAAAAATGACGAAAAATAGCATAGCGAATGCCTGCCTACTACCGTAAAATTTTTATCATTAAAGCCATAGTGGGCATCAAGCAAGTGTGCTTGCAGCACTTACCCAATAAGTGTTTAGAAAAGACTCCGGAATGTTGCTCTTCTAGCTTTAGCTGTGACTGTGCTTCGCCTTCTGCGCAGGCCTGGTTTTTTTTTCCGAAGACGAGTACCATACCACTGTGTTACTACCTTTTTGATGGGCCATCCCTAAGTTGGACCAGACGTTGCATGTTCTTGATTATAGTCGCAGCTCGGCTTTTTGAGGAACCAAGGTTATTGTGCAGCGGAAAGACCGTATGATGCTTGAGGTTGTTGGAGCTCATTTCATGTTAAAAGTCTGAAACAGCTGTGTCGCTAAGTCCTTCGTGACATTACACAAAGTAGAGAGTGGTTTTCTTAATGTGCAAAGTTAAATTTTTCATGGCGTTTAGGCACGCAGATTTGTTTTTTCATGTATTATCCTTGATACTACTCATGCTTTCAATGAAAATTTCAGTTATTATGCATGCTGTTTTTTATATCTTCGTCTACGCTTTTCGAGCAGTTTCTCGGATAACAAAGGTTCATTTATGGTGCGCGCAGTGCATTATGCACCTGACAAACCCTATGAATATTGTAATCATTACGTACCTGCTAGTAAATTAGTAAGAGCCTCTGACTGCGCCATGACTCTCCACTACTTTAGGCAGATGGAGCCTACAGAAAAAAAAAAAAGCTTGTGTAATATCTTAGCAACTTGTCGTGGCCATTCCTCTCTTCAGAAATGACAGATATGGCTTCCAAAAACTCACCGAAGAAATAAAGAGTTAAAGAGTTGAAAAGAGGAAGCCTTTAAGTAGAGTTTCGTATAGACACGTAAAAGACAGTGGTAATGCTACTTGGTCTGACAAAAGCGCGGGAATGGGTGATATACAACCGGCCCTTGAATCAATAGCGGAGAATGTCTGTACAAACAAAATATGCATAGGGCGGCCTCCCCATGCAAGAAACAACAACAAATGAATAAGGATGGGTTGGCGCGCATAATACAGACACTCTATAGTCTATGCGTCTATAGTCTATAGACTGCTAACTTGCCACTGTTACTGAAGCTGAAAGTCTAAAGTCTACAATTATTACGCCTTAGCAATTCTAATATATATCGCAGTAACTTGAAGCTTAACCAGAGACCAACGCCTATACGTGGCGCTCTCTCTACCAGTTTAGTTGACCATCATCATCATCATCATCATCATCATCATCATCATCATCATCATCATCATCATCATCATCAGCCTGACTACGTCCACTGCAGGACAAAGGCCTCTCCCATGTTCCGCCAGTTAACCCGGTCCTGTGCTTGCTGCTGCCAATTCATACCCGCAAACTTCTTACTCTCGTCTGCCCACCTAACCTTCTGTCTGCCTCTAACCCGCTTCTCTTCTCTGGGAATCCAGTTAGTTACCCTTATGACCAGCGGTTATCCATTCTACGCGCTACATGCCCGGCCCATGTCCATTTCTTCTTCTTTATTTCAACTATGATATCCTTAACCCCCGTTTGTTCCCTAATCCACTCTGCTCTCTTCTTGTCTCTGAGTTGACCAGGAAGCTAGCAAAACGTAGCACGAGACCGAATCGAGCGTCAACTCGATGCACTTAATCATGGAATAGTGCAAATTGGTTTTGCTGAATGCAGCAAACAGGCGCCAGAGTTAAGGAAGAAATCAACCACGCGTTTGTGCTTCGTGTTAAAAACCAGTTGTTGTCGGTTTCGCTACGGCGAGAACAAATAATTCGTCTACAATTGCGATGCTGCGTAATGTGAAATCTGAGAGCCACTTTGTGTCAGAGAAAGCCGAACTGTATTGGAAGTGTTGGCTTTGTGCAAGCTATCGGCTGTCTCATAAATCATAACTTTTATGAAATAGAACAGCACCCATTACACCATTACTGGTTTTCATCCATTTAAGTGAGGTATCATCTACACAACTGTATGGTATTATGCTCCCTTCTCTGATGCTGTATGTGGCTGACGGCGACAAGGATCATGGTGACTAAATTGCGGAGTGTTTCAGAAGCATTGAACTACACGCTAGTTGTGAAGTTACCACTGGGAGATGACTGGTTATTACTTTAAGTTTCTGCCACAGCGAGAATTTTCGCCCGCCATGACGCCTGTATTGAGTGCTTCTAGTAATGAGTTTCAAGCACTAGCGTATCACGGTCGTAGATTATTCTACGGTCATGCTGATGGATCGGGCTCAGATCCCATTCAATAATGGGCCTTTTTCCAATTATCTCGTGATCCTTTGTTACGAAACTGACAGCGATGCCGTTTAGCGCAGGCATCCTCGCCAAAGAACTGTGCCTTAAAAGGTGTATGAAGTGTCCATGTAGTTGCTAGCGCAATAATATACACTCATGACAAAATAAGTAATGTCGCTAGTGTCAGATGCTGGCAGACTGATTGTTTATGAGAACATCTAGATTTTTACTAAACTTATGTGAAGACTTCTTTAATTCTACTAATTTTACGAATTCTGTGAAAGACCTACCTTTGGAAGATCGCTGATATCGGCTGACAAGAATCATAACAGCATGCGCCATCGGTGCACTAAGAAACACTCAATGGTTATTACGGGAAAATCCGCTTCTGTTGTGCAAGTCTCTTTCTAGAGATAATGGGTGCTATCCAATGAATTATTAGAAAGAATTAGTCCCGAGGCGATTGATGTAGCATGTAGACAAACAATACATTGAGGCATGATAGAGGGCGCACTGTTCCGGAACTTCAGGATGAACTACCACTGTCGTTTTCCACTGTGATGCAATCAGTTTAAAAATACCACACCTATAAAACGCCTTCAAGCAAGTCGCATTTTATATTCCGATACGCAACCTGTGTAATAACGTCTTTTGATTATGTTTTTCAGGTTGATACAGCCTCCAGTAAGGAATGTGCGAAAACAGGAGGAGCAAAGAAAATGCAGTTCAGGGGAACATGAACATCCCATTTTCACAAATTTTCTAACTAAACCCTGAGTTTAAGTGGCACAGAAGCAATGACTTTTTGGGCTTCCTGGTTCATTGAAACTCAGTGTTGAACAAACTGACCGGCAATACTCGGGTGATATAATTGCCGTTATATTACTTTTCACATTGTTGCTCATACTGCTATAAAGGAAAGTCTTGCATTTTGTCGTGCCCTAGAGGCGAGCAGATGAACCTATAGAGCAACGATGTTGCAGCCGAATTGTACCTCCGTGAATGCGTATTCCTAAAATAATTTACTTTCATTTATCATTGCCCCGCTGCGGTTGCCTAGTGGCTAAGCTACTCGGCTGCTGAACCGCAGGTTGTGGGATCGAGTCCCGGCTGCGGCGGCTGCATTTCCGATGGAGGCGAGGATGCTGTAGGCCCATGTGCTCAGATTTGGGTGCAATTTAAGAAACCTCAGGTGGTCCTAATTTCTGGAGCCCTCCACTACGGCATTTCTGATATGGTGGTTTTGGGACGTTAAACCCCACATATCAATCGATTTTAATTAATAAACAAATATAATTATTAATTATTTAATTAATTAACTAGTTCATTTCTCAATATTTAGGACCCTGGACAATACCAGGCGGCATCGAGGGCATTGCTTTCTACAAGACAAAGTACGCTGACCAGAACGACGACTTTCCCGACATCGAGATCATGTTGAACACGGGTCCACCGGCTTCCACTTACACCGAGCCTTTCCTTATCGGCCTGGGGCTGAAGCAAGAGGTGCGTAACTTGCAGTGACGTCTTCGCGGCTGAAGCGTCACGTGAAAGCCAGTCGGCTGTGGGACAGATTTGCATAACTGATATAACGATGAGTAACATGAGCTACCAAAAACGTAGAAAAGCTACCCAGTACTTTCGTTGAAAAGTGTGGGATAAGGAAAAATAGCTAAGCAATAAAAGGACGCGAACATAGCTTTTTAAAGGAGTGAGGAAACGGGATACACAAACATCTTCCCTATTCCATATTCCGCGAATACTAAATCACTTCAAAGTACTCAGCCAGTATTGTTGATGTACCTAGGAAGGCTGTTTGAGGCCGTTGTGTACACTAGACCTTTAGATCATGCAGAAAATAGAAACTACTTACCTGACAGCATGTACTGTTTTCTCGAACGTCCATGCACTCATCCTGGCACATACCTCTGCATAAGTAATGGAGTTCTGCGAAGTGTTACGACTAGTGAGAAAAGCGTCGTCACAGTTCTTGGTTTGAGCAAAGCATTCTACGCAATTTTCCACAAATTTCTATTGCAATGAGTGCTTGAATTCTTACTTATACATTTTTAGTTGACTTATGTTGCCTTCCTGATTTGCGCGTCTGACACTTGTTTCTTTATTTTGTCTCTTTTTTCTTGTGTGTTATAAATGTTGTACCCACCCCCTCTGTAATGCCCTACGGGCCCTGAGGGTATTCTAATAAAATAAAATAAAAATCACTGAAATCTGGTACTAGAACTTTTCCCCTAATAAAATCAGCTTTATCAAACCGTACAGCAACTACTCGCATTAAGAACATACGCTTCAATAAAGTTTCAATGAAGGCACTTCCCAAGGCGCCGTCCCTTCGTTGCTTCCTGAACTCCAACTTGCACTACAGCATGTAACATCACTTCACGGGTCAGCAAAGGCTCACGGGAGAATGTTAAATCTTGCAAGAAGTGATGTATATAAATAGCACACAGGAGTTTTCAAACGGAATGACATGATATGTACACCCCCTAGTCACCTAGGAGGGGAAAACGCAAAGTTAATAACATCATCACACTAACAATAACATCATAGGGAAATGATGCTGCGACCCGGGGGGAGGGAGGCTCAAAGTCAGCCTTATACATTGGCATAACAGACAAGACGGAATGCTGCGAACCCCCCCCCCCCCCTTTGAAGAGAAAACCTACGCACGCCTACGAGTGAAGACACCATAACCTTAGATGCTCACGATGCTTGGGAAACCTCAGGAGTCTTCGGACAAACTGAACTTGACCAAGGCGGATGAGCAGCGCCGGTTAATAGAGTCCAAGAATTAGGAACGCTCTCTTGACATTTCCCCTTGCAGATATTTGTTCATTTGAATTAGCGTTAATTTACTCGCCCTTCCATTTAGACACGCTTTGGCAGTTTCTACGACACTGGTCTCGTGGAAGTGCTAAAGAAAACTGCAAAAATATTTTACATAAAAATTTTAATGGGTTGACTTCTATAGAATTCCATAAGTCCCAAATTACTACTATTGCAAACTTCGTAACACGAAACCTTCAGGTGTTTGGTCATTCAAATAGCTTTTCCATGGTCAACTTTTGCCTAGAATGCTGTCATATCTGCACTCCGTTTGCGAAGGAAGTGTCTGGTATTCGAAATCCTCTTCAACGCTTCTTCAAATAAAAACGACGAACTATGTTACGTGGAAAAAGATGCCAAGTACCACCTGCCTCACATATATGAACATCATTATCACTACTCGAAGTACTACTATTATCATTAGTTTCAGCCTTCAAATGAGGAAAAAATGCCATCTTAATGTGGTGAACATTGAATATGACTTTGTAGTGAGAGATTTTTATCATTTTTTTTATTCTGGCAAGCTTTTAGTTGTTTACCAATACTGATATTGGCTACAAGGAAGAATTTTGTGCAGAAAAATAGTGAGCACTGACGAATTGTTGAAATAAAACTGATATGATGTTATGCTAGTGGACACTGCATGATCAGGCAGCAAAGAATATTGTGTTTCTAGATCCCAAAAAGCGATTCGGTTTGATTAAATATATAAACTCCTATCGCTTTCGCAAAAAAAAATGGCATAACTGTCATGGGTGAATGAATCTTGTCGGTTGCAAATTATTCCACCTGGCTGCTCTTTTCAGGTGTACGACAAGTACATCTTGCCGCACCGTGGCGAGCCAGCAATCAACATGATCCCTTTTGTGACACGGCCGAAGTCACGAGGATACGTGAAGCTGCGTTCCACAGACCCTGAAGATCCTCCGATAATTGTCTCTGGCTACTACACACACCCCGACGACGTTAAGGTGATCGTTGAGGGTAAGATCTGTGCCATGCATACATTTTGTTCCTTAAGAACCTTGTGCTTCTACTACGCATTTAAAGGTGTGGGCCTCTTTGATGTAAGGCGTTCTATCAATGCTCGCGCGATGTCTACAGGTAATGTCTAAAAAGGTTACACGGAGGGCATCAATGCATCTCTGAATGCATCGGAAAGCTGTCTCAATATCGCTAGAACATCCAAAGCCTCTTATTGTACAGGTTTCTTTTTATTGAGACATTCATAATTTTTCACAGCACTGAATAGTTTGATAACACTTGTCAATCAGCTACGCATTTGGTGCTTATACATACCGGATAGGCCAAGTATAGAGGTGAGTTATCACGACCGTCCTGACTTTCTGCATCTCTGTATCGTAGGCTTGAAGTTCGTTCACAACATCACGAAGACGAAGGCATTTGCCGAGATCGGTGGCCATGTGTGGCGCGAGGTGTTTCCTGGCTGCGAGGAGCACGAGCAATACAGCGACGAATACTGGGCTTGCGTAGCACTGGCTTTCCCAAAGACGGCGTACCACCCGGCCGGAACTTGCCGAATGGGCAGCGACCACAGGGCAGTGATTGACCCTAGGATGAGGTAATGTTTTTGTGCTTTTCAATAGTACAAGTCGCTATATATAACTAACACTTTTTTCCTGACATTTACAAGGCCAAAAGAACGATTTGATGCGCAGGCAACAACATAGTTAAAAGAAAAAAGACAATACAATCTCTGTTGTGTACTTGTTTTCGCTCGCGCGTATGTGTGCGTGTCTAAAGTTTTTTGTTTTACAAATGCTTAAAAATAACTCTAGCTTATATCGTTTTAATGGAATACTCATGAAAGTTGCTTACAAGTTTTACAATATCTTCTGTACAATAAAACATACTAGCATTTGTTTCAAATATATGTTTAATGGGCAGGAAGCCCTGTCTAGGGCTACGTTCTTCTTATGTTTTAAAGGTTTATCCCTGATTTTATTGTATGTCTCGTCGCTCTCTGTTGAACGATGCTGCCATCCGTAGCTCCTGAATGATTTTGCTTCAGATAAGCTTCGATCTTTATGTAAACTTTAGAAAGAGTGCTTAAAATATCTGGCAATAAAAAAAAATCGTTTGAAAACGCAATTACAGTGCTACCCTATAAATAACTGGGTGATGCCAATGCACCAGCGAAGTACATCCTGCAACTTACGAAGCCCTTGCAAATAAGTGCTCTTAACAATAGTTAAGATTTATCCATGTAAACGTATTTTGAGATTACGAGGAAGCAGATGCTTGTTGTGCTCCTTCAGTATTTTTATTACATTTCTGACAATATTGGAACACCGTTTAACAAAACAGGTAGGCGTTTATGTAATGTCGATAGCAGACTGATACCAAAAGTAATAGCGCACCTGAGCATGCTAAACAGTATATAATACACCAAAACATATATTGAGCCACGAAATTAACGCACAGCAGACAGAAAAAAAGACAGCAAAGAAGCAAGACTACCAACTGTTTATTCACGAACGCGAGACTCAAGTATATACACTCATGGGAACACAAGGTCATGTTACAATCTCGTAACAAAAAGAAGAAAAAATAGAATAAACTAACGCACAATCACTCTATGTAACCTTCGAATTATTGTTCACTCAAGATTATATAAAATGTTGCAGGAAATATTTTTCTTCTTGGGCACTGCCACAAAGCTATCACAGAAACAAGCCTTGGCATTCTTTGCTATCTGAAAAGATTCTAGTACTTCACGCGCGTTTTTTTTTCATGGCTTCTGCCCAAAATCTCAATTTCCTTAAGCACTGGATTACATTTGCACTGGTTATAATAAAGGGCCAAACTCCTGTCTGGTCTTTTTTAAAATGCTTTCAAACACTCCCAGGGTCTCATATTTCTATAACGACTCGTTTGGTCATAGTAAATCATCCCACAAGGCATTGGTATTTCATAAACCACCCCAACAACACATTTCATGAATGTCTGCTCATGCCTCTCGTCATAGTGTGGCTTGTTCTTCTGCTCAATGCGTGCTCATAGCTAGCCTAGTTTTCATTGTGCTGTAAGCCCGATGACCCCACTGTACTTAACAACAACTTTTTTTCGGGCCATGCGCAACATTGTGCGTAAACAGGGAACCACTTGTAGTCTCCTTTGCTCTGGGCAAGCCTGCGTATGTTTTTTTTTCATCTATTTGTTTACCACCCTTCTGATGTAGCATAAGTAACAACTAGCCCAGAAATGAGCGTTAATAGTCCCATTTAATCATCTACGAGCGTCAAAGGTGCCTCCATGAAGAAAGGCATATTTATTCAAGTGTTAATCATCGAGAATCTCGAGCGCAACTATTATATGGCGTACCAGTAAATTTGGCACGCTTCAGAGCTGGGAGTGGTGAACACGCCATAACTTCCCCAAACAATTCGACATTGTTCTTCGGAAACATTACCGTGATAACAAAAGCGAGAAAAGAGGATTCCTTCGTGTTAACGCTTGTATATGGTAACTGCTGCACCAGCTCTTTTCATTTGTCTTTCTTGTAAGAAAGTCTAACATTAAAAGGTGTAGAAATAGAAGTCTTATTTGCACGTCGGGGCTGAGGCCTGTTCTAAATCAACGTCACTTGATTATGCTTCATAAAGTTCTCTCTGCTAAGTGGACAGGTCTTCGTGCATACCAATAGAACTGACAGTCCCAAGCAATTGTGCTGACATGTTGGCATGCTTCTGGAATATTGGCCGTATCGCAATTCGTACATTCAAGAACTATTTCTGCTGCAAAAAACTAATCAATATCGGGTAAACGTATTCGTTGTTAAGTGCTAGGGCTATATAAGTCAAAGAAAAATCTACCGCAAATTTCTCATACATCTCATGCGCGTGCTCTGTCCGGTGGCTTTGTCTGTGTGTAGACGAGCGTTCCCAGTGTACACTTTTCCGGTCGCCTGGGCGATGATTCTAATAATGCTCGCTAAATGGCGCGCCGTCACTCAAGGCGTCGGTTTTCAATTAAAGCCCCTATACCTTCAAAAAAACACAACCTTCTTTTGAGCTGCACCGCTTGCTCCTCTCCGCACCGGAGCAAGCCCATGGCGCGTTACAGAGGGTCCCACTGTCCCAAGCGAAAAAAAAAAAAAAAACAACGCGCCGGAGAGGAGGCGGTGTGGGGGAGAGCAGATATCGGTACCTTTACTAAGTATAGGGGTTTCATTTTGAATGGCCCGCGGGCGCCCCTGCTCGTGACTGCGTCCACTTTTGTCCTCGTCGCTTCGTAGGCACGGCAGCAAGTAGCAAGTTCCCATGATGCATGTTACGCACGATTACCAATATCCTCCTAAACTCCCTCACCTGCCTGCTTTCACTCCCGTTAAAGAACACTTGATAGTTTAACGTCTTCCATTTATGATCATGTCTGTCATTTATGAACCTTCTCACTCACGGCAGCGTCCAATATGTCATAAAAGGGCAGGTGATGAACGGGCCAATCGACGTGGGCAGCGCTATGCAGTGCCGGCCACGGAACGTGCCCAACGAAGTTGCCTTCGGCGTACACATGATGCACCGACTCGTTAAGAGGCTTCCATACAGAAATATTGTCACCCAGAAACGCCATGCGCACGTCCAAGCAAGCTCCTCTTCCAAGCTAAGCTTTTAAGCGTAACTCGAAACATTTCATTTTTTTTTATTTACTCTCAATGCCGTAAGGGGTTACAGAGAGGAGGGGTACAATATTAAGCAATCAAGAGAAAAGACAACAGCGGGGTGGTTACAAAAAGTGATTGCTGACAGTGGACCTGAAGTGCGCAGCGTCGCTGATGGAGACGATGGAGGCTTGAAGGTGATTCCACTGCACGCTGGTCGTTGGGACAAACGAGTTCAGGTAGAGGTTTGTTCGAGAGTTTGGCACACCAACTTCTAACGGATGATCAATGCGAGATTGAAGCCCCTATACCTTCAAGAAAACACAACCTTCTTTTGATCTGCACCGCTTGACCCACCGGACGAGGAAAAACGTGCAAGACCACAGTTTTTAGCACTAAAAACGCTTCATTAGGAGTCGGGATGGTTGGTTTACATTCAATTGACTTGAAATGTCTTTTGCAGCTCTAAATGCAACTCACACAGCAAATAAGCACACACGTGTGGTGCAGCTTATTCAGATTATTTTCTCTCTCTCGCAATATACATGTATATATATATGTAGTCATGTAGATCCTCCGTGAGCGGTAACAACGTGGTTTATTTCGACGTTGTGGCCTAGAGTCTGGCCTTCATCAGGATCTTGATGAAGGCCAGACTCTAGGCCGAAACGTCGAAATAAACCACGTTCTGACCGCTCACGGAGGATCTACTTGGCTATATGCAACGCTACGGCCACTCAACCACCATGCCTGCCTATATATATATATATATATATATATATATATATACAAACAAATATACATACTTCAAACTAATGATGCGCCTCATTGACTAAAAACTCTTCGCAGTAGCTGCTTTTCCATAATATATTAGCACGCCTGCGCATACTCATTCGCAGCCTGGGCATACATTCAGTGCGTCAACGCGCTCGAACAATATTGTCAGGTGTGAAAGCACGATTTCAATGCTGCGCCGACTCGCAGCATTGACAGCTCTGATGAAAGTAAAAAAAATGGCTCAAACATTAGAAGCTAAAACATAGAAAAAAGCTAAAACCTTGAAATAGCTACAAACACTTTCAATATCTCTCAAAGTGAGTGCAGCGCTCTTTATCGGCACAGCTTTCACGACCACGTGTTGATTTTGCACGCTGCAAGCATTTTCTTCGACCATTCTCCCTCGATCTGGAATCTATTTTGCGGCTTCGAAGATAGCACAGGAGGTTCGCAAAAACACAGGCACACATTCTTGCACAATACTCTACTTCTTACCACAACTGCTGTCGACATTTTCTTCATCGACAACGCGGCTGTAGGTTCTCAAGGTGTCCTCGATATAAAAATGCACATCGTAAATTCGCTATTTATCCAACCGTCTTTTTTAAAGACCAGATTTGTAAAGACGATAATCTTTCTTGGGGACCTTTGACGCAAACATTTTGGTCTCCTGCCTGCCTGCCTGCCTGCCTGCCTGCCTGCCTGCCTGCCTGTCTGCCTGCCTGCCTGCCTGCCTGCCTGCCTGCCTGCCTGCCTGTCTGTCTGTCTGTCTGTCTGTCTGTCTGTCTGTCTGTCTGTCTGTCTGTCTGTCTGTCTGTCCGTCTGTGAAGTTGTCTGTTTGTCTTTCGAAACGATACCCCAAACAATCAAAATCTAACCCCATCGGCAGGATCCACCGATATTGCTCAAATCGCAGTGTTAATACTTGTGCGATTTTCAATTAAAAAGCAATTATCGCGCATATCTGAGGCATAATAACAACACGTCAATATTCTTTATGTGTATCCTTATACTAAAAAAAGCATACATAAGTAACTGGAAAGACCGCAGCGTTAATCATGCCGTGCTGACAATGCAACGCTATGCACGAAAGGGCGTCTCCAACGCTTTTCTAAGACAACACGGTAGTGGCACCTGCCCGTGGTCTTGCTTTCTACACCTTATTGCCTCCGAGACGGACG